CTACTCCAGTTTAAAGTTTAAAGGATAAATGTAAAACTTATGAAACATAACTCCTAAAATATATACATATGTATTTTGTCACTCATCTATAAGATAACTTATTAAATGTCCTTAACATGTTTATAGAGAATACTAAATTTATTTACAATATACATACTTGATGGGAAGAATGATCTGGAAAACTGCAACATATATATGTATTTCTCGTTCTCGTAGGTCGTAGACGAAGCCAGTGTCTGGGTTGATAACGACCAAATGCCGATCGAAAAATTCTCACTTTGTAAAAAACTTGTTCGAAACATACGCACAAAACGTAGTTAAAATGACTTAAATATAATAATTAATAATTCATATACCTCATAAATATTAAGGCAGGGTTGTTGTTTAATCATTTGTGGTGAAATACGAATTATTCACTTGTAAAACTTCATTACAATATCCATATCTTACATGTTACTCTCTATCTCGATTTCTATGAGCTATAATTAATAACACTTTGCATCATAACACAATTGGCGGAATGTTTAACAACATACCCTACAGATATAATTGTTACAGATATTACACTGCCGAAAATATTCAAATTCTTGTGAAATAATTTCGTTCGAATTAATCCAAGGCCAAAATAAAAACTGTAACAATCATTATCAAGGACAATCCCAATCAAACATCGATCAAAGATTTCCCACTGTGCTACAAATTTCTACGAATTTCTCGCATAAAATTCTACCGACGCACATTTAAATAAAATAAAATTTATCACATTTAAAAGTTCATTAAACCATACATACCTTACAAGTTTCTGTATATCTAGAATTCCATTTCTTACAATCAGTAACAATTTGCATTATAAGACAGCTGCCAAAATGTTTAACAATGTCACTCAGAGAGAATATTGTTACAACAATTACGTCGTTAGAAATAATAAATTAATCGAGAAATAATTTTTTGCGCCATCGATCTAGAGATCCTGCGCAATTTTCGCGCATCTGCCCGCGCAAGTCGCGATCCGCACTCACGGTGTCGTTATCACGTTTATAAATAGAGGTGCGCCAGCATCTCAGAACATCTTCAGTTCTCATTGGTTCCTCGGTCTGCGCGGATCTTGGTCCATCTTCTTACTCTCTGATTGCTGAAGTGTGGACACAGAGGGTTTGAAAAGGTCCTCTCTCTTATTCGAACGTAACCACTGCGGTCACTTCTCTTTCTTCCAATTTCTCAACAATTATTGACCAGTCGTAAGTCATTGGTGGTCATCGGTCAGGGGGTTTTAAGAGATTCTCTCTGTTATCCGAACTCAACTCTTAGTTTCTCAACTCTTTATTTATTTTATTTATTTATTATTTTTTTATATGTATGCCTTGTTTTCAGATTTTACTACTGCAGTCCGATCCTTATTTAATTTAGTTATATTTATTTTAATTTAATTTGAATTGACGTAACCTAATAATTTTTAATTTCATTTAATTTTTTTTATTTTACACTTTTGAACTAGCTTCATCGTTACCAAACAAAGACATTCCTACCACCATTGGACTTCTCTTTTAATGCGGTTACTTTAGGTTCTTTATAATTATTATTTCGACAATTGATTAACCATTATTTAATTATGTTAGTTATAACATGTTGTAAAATGATTGTAATGTATACCGAGCAGTTATTACTTTATCTTCTTTCTCTCCCTTAACCCTCTTCTTCTGGTATCTCTCCAATGTACGCAAGTGATCGGCCGTGTTGCAGATCCCGAACGATCGGCCCCACAAACCAGCGATTTGATCGAGGGGGTGGTGGGCACGGACTGTGGGGCGTTGTCTGTAGGCACACAGTCGTTCTCCGCCGTAATTCGTGCCACGTTCCCCTGTAGAGACAGCACGTTGGGAATAATGGGGTCTCGTTACTGATCTGTATACATATATGGATACGGGATTGGGATTTACTGTCGTTACTTGTAATCTGCGCCATCTTTGAGAATAAACTCACTTCACCACCTGGCTAGAGGCAGGGTACTAACGATTTTCGATTCCTCGTACGCATAATTCGTAGAGTAGATATGTATGTAATACAAAATGTTTCTTACAGGAAACAGAAGGGGTAAACGATAAATCAGTCAGACATTTCGATGACGAAATCACTAATACTATAGAGTGTAACAAAAATGTTGCTCGACCCTGAAATGGGACACTCGTGAAGCAATTTGGAACAAGTTCTTCCTTAGCAAAAAAGTTTTTTTACACCAGCCGACGTTAAGAGTCGCAACGTCGAGTGGGTCCGGATTATTGCACCGAACATGCATTCACTTTACTTTACGACCACCAATACTGATCACCTACCACGATCATTTAATTTATCTTTCATCGAACACGAAAGTGCTCCATGTAGCCAAATACTTGCACAGCAGCAGTCGCATATCCGTTATTCTGTTCGTACCACCATAATATTGCGTAATACTCCTGTGAACTGAACATCTCTGTCGCCCAATTGCTAACCGACTGACAGAATTTTTCCAAAAGGGCTTCCTCTATCACCAAGTAGTTTCTTATCGTTACATTGTGAGTCCACACCCACTCCGGCAACAACATTTAGGTAAAAAGAAATCAGCGTTCTAGGAAAACACGTGCTTTGTAGAAGTGCAACGAACAAATCGTCGTACAGTTTCACCGAAGTGCGGTCTCTGTTAATTTACTGCCAGGATACCCATTGCTTTGAGATAGAAAGCAGAAACTACGTTTTCCTCGAGGAGCAGGAAAACAAATTTCACGGACACATGCTGAGTTGACGTTGCTTGGCCCTGTCCGAGCATCTTAGCAGAGGCCGGAGCGGACGTTTCGGTTATTTACGGCCTAATTGCTTCGGCCTCGTAACAGACATGGACTCACAAGGGAACATCCCAAATCGACAATTGCTGATTTTTATACAACTCTGTGAGATTGTAGTTCTCATAAAAATATTTGATACGTATTTCTTTTGAGCTGCTCTCATTCACGTTGAAGGGGTGAAAACAGCCCTAGATGGTAAAAGAACAAGGCGCACCGCTATTACGGTCGATTACCGTACCGCTACCACTCCAGATTATTTCAATGAAGTTAATGACAATATCAAAGTGTTAATGATAATTTATAATTTACACAAATATAAGCTGTTTCGTGGCTGGTGTTATCCCGTTTGGGGGATTTGCGATCGGGGTGAGAGAAAATAACTGAGCCTCGGACGTGTGGTGGTTGTGTACTTAGTTTTAATTTGAGTGAACAAAACTGTACGCACTGAATTTACAGCAATAAATAGAACAAAACACAATTAATGGTGTACGGTGTTATACAATAACGGTGATAGCCGAAAAGCTATGGTCCACGTGCGGTTAAGATGGATTAGAATAAAGGTAAAACACGTGGTGATCGATTGGCGATTGTAACGGTTGTGTTGAAGTCAGAGGTCACCGGAGAACACGGTGACAACGATCTGATGGTCGCTCAGGAAGGGGAATTGCGCGCCTGACCGAATTGCGAGCCACGCGCACGCGGTAATCGCGATGATTACGCTAATAGCGTTGAGGCGTTCGAATAGTTATCGCGCGTATTGAAGGCTGCAGAATTCGGTAAGAGCCTCGTTCCCGAACATAAGCAAATAATAATATAATTACAATTTATAATATAATTATTAATTAAATAATTAAATATTTATACTTTCTTTGTTTTTTATATTTATATATCATTTTATGATGATTTACTTTTATGATTTCCTATCGATATTGTTTTTCACCTCATTCAAATAATCTGGAGTAGTAGCGGCACAATAGTTGACCGTAATAGCGGAGCGCCCAATTCTTTTACCTGAACCGGGGCGCACCACTGTCTTTAATAGCTTACTGCGACGTTAATATGAACCGTATCACCCTACCGATAAGCTTATTTTATAGAAAACACTTCATCGAATATGGTAGTATTTATTTGGGATTTTAAAAATTGCAACCTCGAGCTAAAATGTGCACAATAAGAATTTGTTAATTTTTAGTATTACAAAAATGATTTTTCGACCTCGAAGAAATTTATTCAGGGAGGCTGATCATTCTGGATTAAAACAGAAACAGGAATCAACTGAATATGATAGATAGTTTCCGAGATATAAATTCATACGTCCAATCCATTTTCATGAATATGGCCTGTATTTTTGAAACCAATTCGAAACTCGAAAAATAATGACTTAACGCCCCCCGCACCTTCACAATTCTACGTGGATTATATCATAGCCCATTTTGAACAAAATCCCAGCCTTCGAAGAGAAAGTGATCGATTTGGCATGGAATGATCCTATTACGTTTTGTTTCCTCGTATTTTCTATAATAATCTATAAGATGGAGTACTTCAACGCGTATAATTAAACACATACGGCACTTTTAACCCTTTGCGGACGAGAGGCGACTCTCGGTCGCCACGACGTTTCGCGCGGCAGGACGAGTGGCGAGTGAGAGGCGACAGTCGGAGTTTATGTTAGATTTCGTTATCTCCAACCGAGGGGAATGAACTATTGGTTCTTGGAAAGGTTCCTTAGCTGTTGGTGTTCTTTCATACGAAGTGTGAAAAGACACATCAATTCAGAGATAAGATAAAATTAATAAAAGGTTCTTCTAAGACAGGCATGTCAAACACGCGGCCCGCCAATACATAGGTTGCGGCCCGCCGAGACTTTTTAAACATTTTTAAATATCAAGCTTTGACGCTTGAAGTTGGAAAGTTTGAACTTTTTGGTTGACGCTGGCGCGAGGCGTCAAATGAAAAGCGGCGGCCGAAACCGAACGGAGATAAAAACACAAGACGATCAGAAACATGATAGAACGCGGAGCGATCTAATGCGACACACGACACATGTTTGTCCAAGTCGTCACAAAGTGCAGTGTTTGCTCAATCGTTTGCGAATGATATTTTGAACTCTAAAGTGGATTTTGGTTTTTATTCATATTAAACTAAAAAGTTATTTAATAAAAATATAATCGAACTTCAAGAACAATGAGTAAGAAAAGATCAATTGAAGAGGAACATCGTAATTTTCAAGAAAAATGGGAACTGCAATATTTTTGTGTCCAAAACAAGAATAAAATATTATGCCTGATATGTAAAAACTCTATTTCAGTTGCTAAGGAATATAATCTTAAAAGGCACTATGACACAAATCATAAAACAAACTATGACCAATACGTTGCAAAACTTCGTGAAGACAAATTGTCGGAATTGAAATCAATTCTTCAAAAACAACAAAGTGTATTCACTAAATGTGTTGAAGACAATACAGCTGCTGTAAAAGTTAGTTATATATTATCACATTTAATCGCAAGCAGATCGAAACCATTTACGGAAGGGGAATTTATTAGTGAATGCTTAATTAAAGCGGCGGAAGTATTATGTCCAGCACAAATAAAGAAATTTAAAAGTGTAAGTTTAAGTCGAAATACTGTAGCTAGCAGAATTGATGAAATAGCCGAGAATTTGAGAAATCAGCATAATACAACAATATCAACATTTCAAGCCTACTCTATTGCAATTGATGAAAGTACAGATATTCGAAATATCGCTCAGCTGGCCGTTTTTATTCGCGGATGCGATGTTAATTTAAAAATAAGTGAAGAACTTTTGGAAATCATTCCTATGCATAATACAACCACTGGAGCTGATATTTTTGATGCACTTATGGAAGTTTTGAAGAAGTATAAGTTACCATTGGAAAAGTTCGTTTGTCTTGCAACTGATGGTGCACCTACCATGACCGGTATTACTAAAGGAGTTGTTGCAAGATTAAAAGAAACATGCAAACAGCATGGTAATAATAATTTTGAACATTTTCATTGTATTATTCACCAGCAAGTACTGTGCTCCAAAGTTTTAAATATCGGACATGTTTTAAAAATAGTCACCAAAATTGTAAATTATATTCGAGCACGTGGACTTAATCATCGTCAATTTGCTTCATTTCTGGAAGATATAGAATGTGAATACACCGATCTACCATATTATACGGAAGTTCGATGGCTTTCGAGTTATAAAGTGTTAAAACGATTCTTCAAATTGCTGGACGAAATCATAATTTTCTTGGAAACAAAAAATTATGAATGTGCTGAATTAAAAGATGGACAATGGATAAAGGACCTGGCTTTCTCAGTTGATATTACAAGTCATCTTAATCAACTTAATCTTAAGCTTCAAGGCAAAAATCATGTTGTTACAACGCTATTTGATAATATTAACGCTTTCAAACAAAAATTATTACTTTGGCGAAAACAAATAGAAAAAGAAAACTTGTCTCACTTTGAAAGCTGTCAATATCTATTGATTAAATCACCTAAATTAAAATTTACAGAATATGCTCACCAAATTAAATTGTTAGAAACGGAATTCGATCGAAGATTTTCTGATTTTAAAAGCTGTGAATTACAATTTCGTCTTTTTACTTCACCTCTATCTATCGATATTGAAATTGTTGATGAAAACTTACAAATGGAATTAATTGAAATCCAATGTGATTCTTTGCTGAAGCAAAAATGTATGGAAGTTGGAATTCCAGATTTTTATACATATTTATCTGTAGATCGGTTTCCTAAAATGTTATCGTTTGTTACGCGTATAATGGCTATGTTCGGAAGCACTTATTTATGCGAGCAACTATTTTCTTTAATGAAAAATAACAAAAATTCAGAAAGGTCAAGATTAACCGATCAACATTTATCATCAATTTTAAAAATTGCATCAGCTCAATATATTCAACGAAATTTTGATGACTTACTTTGTGAAAAACGATGTCAAATATCTTCTCAAAAGTAATATTAAACTGTGATTTTGTTTATTTCTTATTATAACTTTTATTTTTGTTTTTTATAAAAAATATAAAATATTTATAGTTTAAGTTTAAAAAATAACATGAAATATAAAATGTCTATGTATGTATTGCATATTATACAATATAATATACAATAAAATGTAAAATATTTTTTTAGTTTAAAAAATGACATGAAATATAAAACGACTATGTATGTATAATATACAATACATTGAGCTTGACATTGAGTCTAATAAATACATAATACATAATATAATCATTCTAAAAATCGTATTTTATTCATTTTTTCAACATTGAAAACATGCGGCCCCCAACTTAATACAAAATAGATCATGTGGCCCGTAATATCATATGAGTTTGACATGCCTGTTCTAAGACATGAGACGACCTATTTTTGTGATACATGTCCAGATAAGCCAAGAATGCATCTTGGTCAATGTTTTATAAATTATCATACCAAGCGAAACTACAGATCTTAATTTTTCTAAAATTATATTCATAAAGGTGTGAATATAGATATACTATCGAAATATAACGTTTTTGTAAGATAATTTATATGTAAGATCATTTAATTGTACCATGTAAGACACTCGAACTATGTGCAAAAATCGCCACGTCCTGCTACCTAACCCGGCTGAAAAAGTCGTCGACCCGCAATGGGTTAAGATTTCTAGATATTTCTCTTACGGTATGCGTTGCTGGTCGATCCTCAAATGGTTGAAATCCAGTATGCAGGTATAAAAGTTCCCCGCGGCCTATAGCGAAACGTCCGTTCCGGCCTCTGCTAAGGTACTCGGACAGGGCCAAGCAGCGTCAACTCAACATGTGTTCGTCAAATTTGGTTTCCTGCTCCTCGAGGAAAACGTAGTTTCTGCTTTCTATCTCGAAGCAATGGGTATCCTAGAAGTAAATTCACGAAGCCCGCGCTTCGGTGAAACTACACGACAGTTCGTTCGTTGCACTCCTGCAAAGCACGTGTTATCCTAGAAGGCTGGCTTCTTTTTATCTAAATCTTGTTGCCGCGGTGAGAGGGAACTCACAATGTAACGATGTGAAACTGCTTGGGTGTAGAAGAAGCCCTTTATGAGAAATTCTGTCAGTCAGTTAGAAATGGGGCGACAGAGATGTTCATTTCACGGGAGCATTACGCAATGTTCTGGTGATACGCACAGAATAACGGATATGCTGCTGCTGCTGTGCAAGCGTTTGGCTACGTCAACCATCTGACAAATTGAAAACAACCGGTTCTTTGCAGGGCCACGAATTTTCCTAATGTAGGAATAACACGTTCGATTAAAAATACAGTAAGTGATCGTGACGGCTGATCAGTGTTAGTGGTCGTGCAATGAAGTGAATACGTATACGGTGGAATAACCCAGACGCAGTTGACGTTACAACCCCTAACGTCGGCTGGCGCCGTACATCTCCGATCACCTACGAACTGGGCGCTACCATACCATAAACCGTTTCGTCCGTCGATGCCCAGAATATTTCCAGTGACCAAGTGACACAGGTTTGCAAACTCCCGGTAACTTTCCGAAAGGGTGAGTTCTAATCAATTTTTCGCTGATTATTATTGTTGTAATTTAACGCAAGCTAAGACTTATTTCCGGCGATAATTCTGCACATGCGAAGTTTCTGTACATTGTCAATCAGTAACATTGTTGCTCATTATTAAACTACGGATTTTTATCTCAATATCGAACTACGATCACTTCTCGTTTATTCTCTGTTACATTACCTTTTCGTTAAGACGTTATTTGAAAAGGAAATTTACAAATTCCTCAGCCTCTCTCTTTTCAATTAATTATTAGTTTCCGTTCTGTTTAACAAAATAATTGTGTATTCATCTTTTTACGTTACACATGATTTTCCTTCATTTATGCTTCATTCATTAATCTTTTTCAATAACAAACGAAAGATGATAAAAACTATGATTTTATTTGCTATTATACGCAGTTTCCTGCGATGCATGCCGACTTGCTTGTTCGGAGCTTCGCAGTACAAGCGCGGCGTGCAGCCAACGCTACCGCGGTAGCTGCGCCGGCATACCCACGCGCTGATTGGTCGGGGTTTTTTGTTAAGATCTTATCTCTATCGTTAACGAAGCCTCAGATTACAATTTTCCTAAGGAAAACGTTGTTCCAAATTACCCCCCAAATGTCCCGCTTCCGGCTCGAGAAACATTTTAGTTACATCCTGTGTATGTATACCCGAAACGTCACGTATAAGGGCCACCGAGCCATGCGTACGACGGAGAGCACCGATGCCGCGGCACACTCTACTGCGCTTTCTCGCTCAGACGCCATCCCCGCACCCCTCTCAGACGATAGCACGGGCGACGGAGAGCGACGATCACGCAGCACTCACGCTCTCACTCACTCCGGTCGGAATGTGCGTTCCGACGGAGAGGGCCGACCCCGCTACACTCTCGCTCTCTCTTGCTTCGACAGTCGGCTCCGAATTCCAGGAATGTTACGGCCACGACAGGATTAAAGGAGCCAAGGCGTTTCTCGTAAATGAAAATGGGAGAGCGGGTATTCAATAACCCGAGCACGCCAAACATGGGGCTTCCCGGCTAAACCACGGGTAAGGTGGCTACCGGTAATCGTCGATAATTCAGTCCTTACATATACATATATCTCAGTGGTATTTTGGTATTTTGTTGTATACCATCCCGCCCGACTCCTCTGGGCCTCCACTCATAGATGCGTCCTGGACGTCTAGTGTGAGTTACTCGAGCACCGACCAATAGTTGCGTGTTGAGCAACTGGCCAGGCAGCATCCCGGCACCGCCCCTCCCCCAGATACCCTCCGACCGCCGGTTTTTTTTCGGCGCCGTGTTCGCTCGTACCGACCGTGCACGTGTCGTCTTTCTTGCAGTACCATCCGTGACGCAATACGCGCACCGCTCTCTGTACAAACTGCACTCCGCCGTCCTTTCTCTGTCACCGGGGATTCCCGTACCGTGCAGACAATTCGATCGAGTAGATGATCACGAGAGGTTCCGATTCGCTGAGCTCTCAGCCGTAGTTCCGTACCGTCTCGATAATACGTAGATAATTAGTATAGTAGACATTCGTTTCCCGCGCTCCCGTTATCTGTACGTTCCCGTTATCTGTACGTTCGTCTCCATCAGGAGAGGCACCCAAATATGGAATATCGCGATCATTAAACAATCCACAAATTTGAATATCTTTGTTCAATGACTTCGCTACGTCTTTTCTTGCACTGTCTTCTTTATTACGGCCATACTTCATAGCCGCTGTGTTGACAGAGGAAGGATATAAGATACTTTCGACCATCGCTACACAAGACGTTGTTTCCCTCATGCGACACACTGCTCCAAAATTCGAAGCAGTCAGCATTTCATCCTTCAGAGCTCTCCACAAATTCGAATTGTATTTGTCCCTCGTGTTCATTTCTATCTTTATAAAATTTTTTGCATTGTTGCGAAGCTTTTGAAAATGTTCGTCTCGAAGTCGAAGTAATAGATCATTCGGAAGATCTGGTCTGATTTAAATTTCTTTCTCTTGCCATTGGTCATTCGCAATTGTTTCGTTTTGCAACTTCTTGCTGCCGTCGTTCTTCCAGTTTTTTTTTACTACTGGTGCAACGTTCTTACCCATATTTTTATACAGTTCCGTAACGACCTGTTGCGTGTTATACTGCGTAACGGCTCCTGCAACTCTAGCATTGTATAGGCCCCTTCCACCAAAATTAATACGCTTTCCATCAATCTCCTTGCAGATTATTGAATTGAACGTTTCTGCGGGATTGTTTGTAACATTCATTAACAAACTATCAGAATAGCAACTGAAGAATCGTATAACTTTCTCAACTTCGTTATACAGGCGTCGTATAGCTGCGACAGTTGCACTCCTTATGCTTGCCAAATATATAACTAGGAGTATTTAAAATATCTTTCTGAACTTTTCTAGCTTTGACATGCTGAGGCTCTTTTTGCTGTTTTTGTGCGTTGACTGCTAAAACGACTTCGCTCCGAATATTTAAAATATTCTTTTTAATAATATGTCGATGCGCAATAAAGTCACGATTTCTATGTCCTTTCGTTTGACTTTTTTCTGCAATATGTCTCAACTTTTTACATAAATTCCGAAGTAAATGATTACTACACTCAATTTTCCTAACGGTTACCCTTTGCTCTCGGTACGGTCTGTTATTTACAATACTGTAGTACACGTTGCTATCATCATCAGCCACAACCGTTCTATACATATATTAGCCCATGCATATCAATGCTGCACTTGAAACCATCAGAGATCACTTTTCATACTGCGAGAACTGACATGACGGTCACAGTTTTTATAACATTTGTGACATTTTGGGGTTGCAGCTTTTCGTTCCGCCATGTCACATATTGCACAGTACTTATTGCGTATGCCAATGAACATGACTTTTCCTGTACGAAAACCTACAATGGCTCCACCACCGGAAAATGAATTATAATTGATTCCATACGATCTCTTCATCCAACTATTGTCCGCTACGACAGTTATGTATGGAATACCGTCGACGACTTCATTATATTCAAGCGCTCGTCGTCTTTCTTCTTCACCTGCTGCCTGCATTATGTGCATTGCGGTCTTTATGAACTCATCTACAAGTTTCTCACGATGCCTCTGATACGTCGTTTCAGCCATGCAGGGCATATTAATGGTGCCACATAATTCTTCTAATTGCGCATAGCCAATTTCGATTGTAATAGTTCCGATCGTCAAAGCCTCGTTTGCATTCATTATATCTGAACGCAGCGGTTCTGACCAAATGGTAGCTTCGTAATTCTAGATTTAGCACTTGAAGCGAAACTGTGTAAAGCACCCACGCTGGTCAGTACCGATCATTTTCCAATCGCGAAAATCACATTCAATACCTTGCGCATGATTATGGAATGTTCTATGAACCTCGTTCCAGAAAAACTGAACATCAATAATGCGGCGGCCAGTTGGTACATTTTCCAAAATGCGCTCAACATCTACGTGTTCGTATTAACGACGAGATTGTTGTCGCTACCGCATATGGCATTTTGTAAGGTGTATCTCACACTGCAAATTCGCTTTATGCCACAATGTTTTCGTCATTTTTGCAAAAAACGTTCTGAGAAATGCGCCCCACATCTATACATATACAGGGTGGCCCACCTAACTCTTAACAGCTCAATATGTCGAAAACTATGCCATCGATTTTACAGTTCCTGGTCTTAAATTGGATAAATCTGAAGGGCCTTTCTAACTACATAAACGTGAAGTGGCCTCCCCTTTCCCTTTAAGGGGGGGGGAGGGACCTTTATAATTTTAAATGGAACCCCTATAAAACGTTACATATTTAGATTCTACAGGAATAAACAAGTAAATTTTGTCTGAAACATTTTTTTCTTAGATATTTCCATGATGAGATATAACAGTTTGAAGTTTCGACTTGTAGATACTTACTTGCAGCGCTCGGAAATTGCGTTAGT